AAAAAAAAATCCCATGACTTTTAAAAAGGAGGGGTTTTTCACCACACAAAAAAAAAAAAAAAAAAAAAAAAAAAAAACTTTCTTGTAAAATCTTCACATCATCCTTGAAATGTTTGCACTCGTACTAATCTCCAACCTTTATTTATTTATTTCTTCTAGGTGCTAATATTGTCTCTGATGAAATGTGGATTTGTCTAGTCAGGCGGTGACCTTTAAAGCTGAGCTGATAGATGCACAAATTTTTTAGACCTGCAGCCCTTGCAGGACACAAGGTTGCAGAGAGATTAGATTGTGAAAGCGCTGCGACCAGATGAAAACTGCGAGCATTATTCTAATGGTCTAATGCCCACATCTTCCCCCCCCACCCCACACCCACACCAACATGAATGCATATATACATGAAAAAGGAAGAAGAAAATCTACATTAAGAGCTTTGTTGGAGGCTGAACCACGACTTACATGGCAGTATGTCTTTGTATCGGTTCTTCTTCACATTTTCTTCCCTCTCTCCTACGTTGGTGGGGTAGATCTTCTCCGTTCGGTACTTGGTCGATAGCCGCCGCAACCGCTAAAATACAGAAGGAAAAGAAACATTAGTGGATAATAAGCACTGATGCTTCTCACAGAAGCGATTGCACAATTCTTAAACTAGGGTTCAATCATCTAACCAAAACAGTCACTCAAAGACTACGGTTGTATAAACCACAGAAAGTCGTGGTGAGGCTTTTAAGGCTTAGATCGCTGAACCAGTTGTCAAGCACGGTGGTGGCAACATCATGCCGAGGGGCTATTACAGTACCAGTGCACTGCACAATGTGTCAGATGCCATTTCTGATGGGAAGCGTATTCTCTCCTCAACCTGTTTGGAGACATTTAACCAAATATTGATGAGGTTCTTTGGATATTTGTGTTTTCTTGAATTCTTCTAAAATGGTGCCACATTGGTAAATAAGACATATTCGCAGGTTGACCAACAGAGTTGACCATGAGGGTTTGTAAAAAAAAAAAAAAAAAAAAAAAAAAAAAAAAAAAAAACCCCCCCCCGGGGGAAAAAAGTTTTTTCTGCGGTTGGTTTTTTTTTTTTGTTTTTTTTTTTTTTTTTTTTTTTTT